TGGGCGTCCCTGACGCGGGCGAGGTGCAAGGGAAGAAGCCTCCACAGCCTTGCCGGCACAGCCCGGCTGGTGTTAGGCTTCCACCCCTGGAAGGGAGCTATGAGGATGCTGAAGGGTGGGCTGCGAAGCTGAGGTCCTCTCAGTATATCAAAGAAGGGGCCTTTGCTCCAGGGAGGAGCTCCAGCCACGTGGGACCAGCTGGGGCTGGGAGCAGCAGGGCACAAGAGCATGAGGCAGAGACCCCAGGCCGGGGACACGGCTCTGTGTGAGGCTGTACAGAGAGGGCAGGGGGGTAAATCCAGCCCCCCAGCGCTGGGGAGGCCATGGCAGGTAGCAGCCCACAAGGAGCCCGTGAGCAAAACGTTTGTGGGAACCCCAGCTCATACAGAAGGGCTGGGGGAAGCCCGCGGGTGCCATGGCAGCCACGTCACATGCCAGCCAGGGCTGAACAAAAGGAAAACTCCTGTCAAGGACATCCCCTGGTGATCTGAATGCTATTTGCCCCTATGTAGCTCATTCAGCTTTCCCAAAACCCTCCCTTGCATTTTTGAAGTCTTGTTTTTGTGCTTTTCAAGCTTATTTCCATGGATATTTTGGCACGACGAGGCACCCAAGATGGCTGCATTTCTGGCTCTGGCTGTGTCTGTGCTCGGGAAGCTGCAGCAAAGATCCTGGCCAAGGAGCATCTCCAGTTACCTTCATGTCCCAGCTAAAGCTTTCAAAGAGCAAAACTAGCAGTTACACTGTTACCCTAAATAGTAATTAGCTCAATTGTACTGATGTGCAACAAGACTTTCTCCTCTCTTAACTTCTCTCTAAGCACACAGCACTTGGATGGAAAACACAAAACACTCTCCTACCAGCATACGCAGAGCTGGGCATTGGCTGCTGGGTCAGAAGGGACACTGAAGCAGGCATCACGCTTACAGCTTCGATCGTGCTGAAATAATCCTGCCATGGCGTTACCTCACAGAGCTGGGATCTCATCCTTTTGCAAGATGTTTATGTTTCTATGCAGTATTCAGGATGTGGAGTGAATCACTGCCCCAGGCTGCATCGGCTGCTTCATCCAGTTGCTCATCTGTTTTCTCACATAACTACCATTCTTTTTTCCTCTGAAAATTGGGAAAAAGATGGCTTGAAACAACACAAGGCTGCCCTTTTCCAAAGACCCATCAGCTCTCACCTCTGTTCTCAGCACAGACCCAACAACTTTGGTGCTACCCACCCTTAAATGTCACATCCAAACAAGGGACACCTGGTCTCAAGCCCTTCCTCGCACAGCCACTTCTCGTAACAAGCTGTTGATGCTCTTGGGGGGATGGATCCAGTCCTCCCTGCCCTCAGCCCCTTCCCTAAGGGCCTGCCCCAAGGGGCAACTAAGCAGAGGTGATTTTTTGGCTCCCAGGTGACCAACTGCTCTCGCTGCCCCATAGTTATGAGCAACAACCCCCGCACAAACCTTTGATGTGAAAAAGCTACGGCAGCATTTGAAAGCTGAGTGAGCCCCACAGCACCCATGTCACCACAGGCCCTTTCGTGCCCTTCGCTGCAGAGAGAAGGGCCCAAGGGACTATGTGAGTGGCTCACAGCATACTTGTGCCATGAGAGGGCAAGTCAAGCCCGTGGATGGCATCATCCAAAAGAGAAACCAGCTAGGCAGAGCTCTCAGGGGATGTAGGATATACTGGGAAGGGTGATTTAGAGGAGAAAACGCACTCAGGCCCATGCATCCATGTACACAGACGTGGATGATTGCCAGCAGGTCAAAAAGGTCCCTGGGGAGCCAGAGGCTTTGGAATGAACAGACTCACAGCTTTCCCAGTCCCACGATAGTAATTTCCCTTGTAGCCAAAGCCTGTTCTTTTGAGATGTTTGGGTCTCCAAACAGCAATTCCCATTAAGTTTTCAGACTGTGCAATGCTGGATGGTGTCACTGTCCTGCATCAGTTCCTGTTCTGCTGGTTTCATACCTTTTTTTTCATTTTTGACTTGCTTCAAGCCATTTTTCCCAGTTCCCAAGGCTGCATTTTTCCAAGGACCAGCGACTGTGTTCCTAAGAAAAACCCCTTTCCAGTCCATCCAGTCCATCCATTTAGGCCAAGAGAGGTCCTCCTGCCCCTCTGCTCTGCGCTGGTGAGGCCATATCTGGAATATTGTGTCCAGTTCTGGGCCCCTCAGCTCAAGAGAGACAGGGAACTGCTTGAGAGAGTCCAGCGCAGCCACAAAGATGATGAAGGGAGTGGAACATCTCCCTTATGAGGAAAGGCTGAAGGAGCTGGGTCTCTTTAGCTTGGAGGAGAGGAGGCTGAGGGGTGATCTCATTAGTGCTTACAAATAGGTCAAAGGGGAGTGTCAGGATGATGGAGCTCAGCCTTAAAATGCCATGTCCTAACAAGGGCCACCTGGTCCCAGGCTTGGGTTCACCCAGCAGCATCTCATGATGAGCTGAAAAACATACCTGACAGCCCATCTCCTGAGACCTCACACACTTGGTGTAAGACCCTGTTAGCCTACAGCCTCTACGCAAGGAAAAGGGTGTATTAACAGCCCATTGATGGCATGACCAGACTGTGTGGGACCCTGGCGAGCTCAGTGCACACTCTGTCCCTCATGCAACCTCCCCAGAGAACCCATGCAGAGCACCCTGCAGCACCCCAGAAAGACTGCCAACGCTCTGCAGAGACCCTCAGAGCCTATTTCCCCTGCCCTCCCCTCTGACAGTTGACAGATGCAGAGACAAAACAGTGGTGTGCATAGCGATTGTGGTTAGATTTTATTAGTTTTTTTGGTCATTTTCTCTTTTTAACCCATATTATTGTTATAATACAAAATATACAGACTGGAGATGCCAAGCGGGTTGTGGGTCACCATGCCCCGGGGCAGGGGAGTCACACCATGCGACCTGCGGCGTGAAGGAGGAGGTGGCATCTGCTCCGCGTGGCGGGGGATGGTGGGTACCCCAGAGAGGGAGGACGTGGAGAAGGAGATGGACGGGGTAAGGGTCAGGATACCTGCCCTCCCACCCTCAGGAGACTGCAAGTGAGTGCTCAGCCCCACGGCAAACCCACAAACAGGATTGTGAGATGAACAGTATGTTGAATGAACCTAAAAAACACATCATACCTGCAAGGGCTGAGCCAGGGACGGTCCTGCTTGGGAACAGCCCCATAGCTTTGGCTCAGGGCCCTGGGGAGGTGGTTCTAATGGCTCCATCACCAGTGGTTCAGCCTGGGTCTGGGGCACAGCCCAGTGTGGGTATTGGCCTTGCTCACCCTTTCCCCGTTGATCCCAGACTGTAGCTCTGGCCAGCCTCAGTCGCCCTTGGCCACTAAGGATGCGGAGACTGGAGCAACAGAGCTGGGACTGGGTACATATCCAGTGCCCGCGGGATTGCACAGAGGGGCTTCTGGGGTTGCTGTGTTGTCATTAGCCCACAGGCAGTGGTGCCCAGCACAGGCAAGCCTGCACACACCCAGCTCGGAGGAGCTGGTGGTGACAAAGACATGGGGTGCCCCAGGGTGCTGGCTCCATCCCCAGGGTCCCCAGGCAGGCTCTCAAGTGGCTGTGCCAGGAGAAGGGACCAAGCCT